ATCTCAGTTAAGTTTTCCATGATGGAAAAGACTTGCGTGACTGCACTAACATTGACCTTCCTGCGACGCAGAAGAGCAGCTCTCAGGATGTTGGACACGCATTTTAGTATTCCACTGGTCTGAATTTCTGCTTGTTCAGACCAGTGGCTCTCGTTCCTCTGTGTTTTCAAGACCCCGGTTACTTCAGTCAGTTTTGTAATGGCAATCTCTTGTGATCGAGCACTCACTTCCTCAGGTCGCTCTGTGACTTTAAAAAGAGAGGCTACCACTTGGTTAATTTCCATGGTGCTCTCAACCGAAACATTCAGGGCTGCCTTAATCAGGCTTTCCCTCAACTGAGCCTTGGGTATCGGGAGTGTTGGTGCGGCTTCGATGTAGTTTAGCACAGAGGCTGCAAGATAAGCCAAATAACCCGCATTGAAATAGTCTCCGGTCTGGAGATAAGCTGTCATGGGCGCACCTGAACCACTCACTGAGGCAAGCAGTTCATGAAACACAACAGCTAGTGGTCGACTTCTGACTGGGTTCTGTGCTCTGACATGCAGACTCAGTTGGGTAAATGCCCCCAGAGAATCATACACTTGAACGTACAGTGTCAGAGCATATCTCCGAGAGGGTACACCAACTGGGAGGAGAGATGGAGGCATTCTAGGCTGATAGCCGAAGTACAGAATTGTGCCAAATGTGTTATCCTCCACCGAGTTGATTTTGGCAGTTTTGGATATGTCGGAAGCTACTATGACTTTGTATGTCAGGGGTAAGTTGCTGTCAGAAAATCCGCTGCACTGGACAACAAATTTTGTCAGGAAAGCTGTACCGCGGCGTGGGCTGATGCTACACTTGCCAGCCCTGGGTGGAGAATTTACTTTAAATGCATATCTGTAGAGTGATGACCTACCACCCCAGGTAGTCACTTTTAGAAGTAGTATGTATGATTGATCTGTAGTACTGGTAAAAGTCAAAGCATGTATAGAAAGATAAGCACCAGACCTGCCCGTCGATGTTCTGGAAGACCAGTCAAAGCTAATTTCTGTGGAATTTTCCAACCAAAGCGACCAGTGGTAGACTGGCTGGCTGCTCGTTCCACAGTTGAGGCATTTGCCTGACAACGTAAACCTCTCTGTCGGAATTACAGCGCTGCCACAGTTTTCAAGGCACGCCACATCCAGGAGAGGAGAGAAGCCAGACTGCACCTTCACGCTTTGGTCGGCATAACTCTTTCTTCTGTCCTTTTGAATGACTAAGCGGAAGTGGTAGACAGTGTTTCCCGGCAGCGATTCCGGTGCGACCACTTGAACAGCTCCTGAAGATGTCAGCCACCTCAAATCCCTCTGGGCTGGATGACACTTATTTCCCGCACCAATTCTCATGCTTTCATAGTCCGATAGCTTTTTAGTGCAGTACCACGTAAACGTGATTCCCTTCAGTCGTTCCGGCGAATCGGGGTCATAGGACACAGAGCCATCAAGAGTCCAATTATCAAAAAAGCCCACTGTCCGGAAGACGCCTCCTGCAATGCCTGCCACAAGATCAGTTCTCTCTATCTCGAGGAAAATTCTGTCTGTCTTACTGAAGGTTCTCTTGGTCCCGAGCACGTATACTGAAGCAGTAAAATAGACCTGATACATTCCATAATCCAAGGTCCAGCTGGGAACCGTTAACTGCACTGTGTTGACACCGTGCATCGATGATATATTTAAAGGCTGGTCCCAGTCTGGATTGGTTTTCATGTCCTTAACAGCATAGAATATCCACTGAGGCTTTATGGACAAGCGGAGGTTGCAGTCCACTAGCACTCTAGCATACAGGTAAAATGTTGTCCCCTTTTTCTGGCGTATGACAGAGGTGTGAAGAGGAGGTTTTTGAATCGTAACCGAGTTTAATTTGCAGGCTGCTTCCTGGTGAAGCACTGCCAGCTCTGTTGTTTTTGAAGCATCATCCCTGACTCTCGGGAGAGCTGGTGTCAGTCCACTTTGGTTGCTACTCACTTTTGCCACGAACCCTTGGTGTTCCTCAGGATCCCAGGGGAAAGCGGCCCATCTTGCTGACATCTGGATGCTCAAGTTGTGATAAAGGCACTCGGGTGCAGCGCATGAGGCAGACGAGCACTGCACTGTCATGACACTGGGGGCCACGGGCCGGAGAGCGCTTCCCGGGGAGAGGCCTGTCCGGAGTGTGAACTGCCCTGACCAGGAGGAGGTGTTCTTCACCCAATCCCAATTCAGGTACCAGCGGCAGTGCGGCGGGGAGGCAGGCTGCCTCCCTTTACTCTCTGCCTCCGCTCTCGCTTCCGGGGCTGGCTGGTACCCCAGTCGCAAGTTGCCATTGCCCTGGCAGGAGAGCCATCCCTCGCCGCTGAGCCCTTCGGAGCCGCGTCCGCGAGCTCCGAGGCAGGTGACCGCCAGCGGCGCCGGCTGCAAGCGCGGGGAGGAGGCTTGCAGGGAAAAAGTGAGCAGCTGGAGCAGAAAAAGCAGCGTGGGCATGGCCGGACGACGGGCGAGGGAAAGCGCTCGTCCTGC